ACGCCTTTGTCTCTATTTTCTGATCTATACATACATCAAGTCATCTCTTCCAATCCATCCAATCTCATCTCATCGCATCCCATTCATCTATTTTTCCATCCCATCCCATCAAATCAAATCAAATCCATACCACCCTTCTATTCCTGCCACTCATCAATCCCATCCGTCTATCACATTCATTCAACCATTGATTCATTTCTTCAGCTCCTCCCCCTCCCCCTCCCCTCCTCTCTGTTTCTCTCTCTCTGTCTATTTTTTCCTCTTTCTCTCTCTCTTTCTCTCTAGATCTGTCTCCCCCCTCCCCCCCCAACAACATCCATCGGGTCAATCGTCTGCGCAGCACAACAAAGCTTTGAAGGCAACTTGGGGAAATAACTTCAACGTCTTTAATAGCTACTTAATTTGCACTAAATATTTCGCGTAATCATACTCGCTTCACCTCGTTTCTCCTTCCAGGTGCAGTAACAGATCACTCAGGTTACTTGTTCGGTGGTTTATACACCAAGATAGCGATGAACCCAGTCACAGGGACCGCCAGTTGTCCTCCCAAGTTCTACCCCCAGCGGTTCGGCCCTGAAGGGATGTACGTGTGTATCAGTGACGACTACGAACTGGCTGCTCAATATTCTTTACCGTTTGCTGGATTCTTCAGCTGTAGTGCTGGCAACCCTCTGGCTTTTAGGAAGACTGCAGCACTAGCAAGTGGACTAGGTATGCATTAGAATTTTTCGGTCGAGTTCTAATCCCAGACCTGCCACAATTTTTAAGTACCGTTTTAACTTGTATGGTAACCCCCTTCTTTGACTCTTTTAGGGATTTTTTTCGGTTCCTCTTTTAACAGCTAATATAATTTCTGTGTTGTAAAGTAGAACTAGAACGCGCTTTATACAGTGCTGGTTCCTCTAGCTGGCCCAAGCGCTGTCCTACGGGGTACTCCCAACACTTGGCCATCATAGACGAGGACTGTGAGATCAACTATTGTGTGAAAGCCAATTCCCTGTCACTTCCGACCATCAAACGACCACCGTTCCAATCACCGCCCAGGATGAACCATAACATTACGATACCGCTGGCCATAGTCAATGATGTCGCGGGTAAAGTGTGGTTCAAAGATCCGAACTCTTTGAAGTGGATTTTGGCGACAAAAAGGTACGGTTGAACACGAAGCGAAGATTAGATTAGTCATAAGTATTTAATTTGTAGATAATGGGAATGCACGGACGGACGTATAGAATAATGATGATGTTGCTGTAATGATAGTGATTGTGGTGGTCATAATATTCAAATCTGATAGGGGTGGGGTTCCAGAAACACTCTTGCCTGTATGTTTTATGAATTTAAAGAAGAAATATAATTCTAATTGATTTTTATTCTAATGCTTAGCGTAAAGAAAATATATGATTATCTTGGATGGATGGATGGATGGATGGATGGATGGATGGATGGATGGATGGATGGATGGATGGATGGATGGATGGAGGGATGGATGGAAAGGTAGATGAATAGGATTCATATAATTCCTATCTCATTTTCAGTACCGTGATAAAATTTATGGCCGAGACAAACGTCAAGAAAGGCGCCCTCGAGAGTTTAAAGGCCTCAGTGGTAGAAACCAAACCTAGCTCTTCTACTAGGCTAAAAGACGACACACTGTCGCCAGGAATGGCAGTCCTGATTACAATTGGTGTCATAGGGGTTGCTGCAATATTGATTCTTGTGTTAGTAGTTACAATGCGCCGAAAAACGCGTTATAATGGAAGCAACAATCCAAAAATGGATCCCTTACTTTCTTCTTCAACAAACTACCAGACTGTGGAAAACGATGAACACGAATAGAGATTAATCCACTTTTGTTTTAGATTTAATCTAATTATGTATATTACCAGTATCTTCAAGGGAGCCGGACTGACGGTGTATAGGGGGGAAGAGGGGGGAAGAGGGAGGCTTTCAGTCTGCACCATCGCCTGATGGGGACTGGCGGTGGCGGTCGATCGAGGCGTCGCGGTCCTCCCAACTGGCACAATCGTGTGACAAATGAAGAAGTATAATCTTCGATCTATATCCATAATAAATAATCCTTTCCATTATTTTATTTATATTCATTAGTATTATTTTTTGTTTATCCATCTCCAGTTATAGCTTTTATTATATCTTAGGCTTAGTTGATTATGTATTATAGATATTTCATCTTACTTT